CACCTCACCTGCTGCTTCCAGGCCCTTTAGTTATTTTCAGCTAAATTTGTAGTTATATGAAATATATGTAGTTATATGAAAGAGAAAGAGAATGCTAATACGGAAGAGCTGCTGATGTCTCCCCAAATGTACTGGTGAGTTCAGAGCACTTCTGCACAAGAAGAGGGCACTGCAGATACAAAGAAAGGCCTTGCTTCATGGGCTTTCAACGAAGGGGCAGAGGCTCCCACCCGCACTCTGAGATCTGCAAGCGAAATTATCGAGGTGCAGTCTTCCAAAGGATCAGGCCTGCGTACCACACGTAAGGTGTGGAGCTCTGGCTTTCAGTCTTGGTGCTGCGGTGTAGGGCTGTGAAACTCAGGCTACATTCTCTGCCTGCACAACCAAGCTGATGGATAACAGGCTTTCCTCTGATCCTCTACAGTTCTGAAGTTCTGCTGCTCAACAGAAGGCACAGGTGACTTTGGGGATGAACTGGACAAAGCAGGTGTTTTTTTTTTTTGTTTTTTGTTTTTTTTAAAGTTCATATTGGCCTGAGTCCCTACTTCCTGCACAGAAGTTGGGGAGGAGACCAGCATGTGGCTCCCTGGCCTGGGTCACAGACTCACAGAGTTGTGGTGGCTGGCAGGAACCTCAGTGACAGTCAAGACTCATACCCTCTCTCCCTCAATTCAACAATAGTTTGCTCAGCAGTGGTGTTGGATAGAATGTGGGTAGAGATGGCAGGTGCTGTATACCCAGGTTTATCCATGGCACCAAGTGTAGTGTCTGGCCCATAGCAAGTGCTCATTAAATATCTGTTGGATAATGGGCAGAGTCACCTAGGGGAGCCGGTTAAATCTGGGCTTACTTCAGATCTACTGAATTGGAATCTCTGGTGCCAGAGTTCAGGTGACTGTCGTGCCTCAGGAGTTTGAGAAGCACAGCTGCAGTATCTGAATAAAGCATTCTCCTATTATCAGAAGGAGAAATGCTGATGTTTCACTTTTGAGCATTTGCCGGTAGAGACTAAAATATTCAAGTCCAATTGTGTAGGTTCATTTTACTGTAGCCATTTCCGTGGAGCCTGGAGAGCACTGGGCTTTGGGCTGGGCACACACTGCGCTCACTTTCACTACTCTCAGGGGAGGCAAGGCCAATAAAAAAGAGAGAAGGTAGAATTGGAGCCACATGAAGTCCAACTCTGGCAGTATTACTGCCCTTCCCTTGAAAGTCATAAACTAAGGCATGTGCCAGGGTTCCAGCTTCCTGGGGGTGGACAGCGGCTGGCAGGTGCTTCTCCCTTGCAAGGTCTATACTTGGACCTGGTACAGACCTAGACTCGGGCCTCAGCTGGACCTAGCTGCTTGCTCTGGAGCTAATCAATTCAACCCCTTTCACAATAAGTACTGCGGATTTAACGTAGGGCCCTGTTCATGTGAGACAAATGCTCTACCACTGAGCTAGATCTCCAGCTTTAACCCCATTTAAGCTTTAGTTTCCTCAGGATGAAATGGATAGCATGATTCAGCCTTCTGAAGGTTGTCAAAGGATTAGCGATGAAAACCAGGTTTGGCCAGAGAGCTATAAACTGCAAATATATTTGGGCCAGGGGACTGCAGAGCTTCACCCAGCCTGGCTTTTTCACAGGCCAGGTAGGAGTGTAGTCAGAGGACCAGCAAAAAGCATGAGCTGTTCTTGAGGGCTTTTTGCATTTAATTTTTTTTTTTTGAGAGATGTTCTCACGATGTAACCTAGGGTGGCCTTGGATTTGCACTGTAGTCTCCTGCCTCAGCCTCCTAAGGTGAGCATTTAAGGGCTTTTAATCTCAAGGAAGAACTCCGCACCCCTGCAGGGACTCGAAGGTGGTATCACTGAGACTTAAGTGCCTGTGATAAGGAACTCCTGAAAAGCAAGCTGTTTCCCTGGTAAGGGCTCACCCTCAGTGTCCTGCCAGCGGGAACCTGCTCAGAGGACACCCAGATTAGTAAGGCTGGGTAATTGGCAGTTTTTCTTAACACCACTGGAGTTTTTTGTTTGTTTGTTTGTTTTTGTTTTTTTGTCTTTTTTGAGACAGGGTCTCCTTGTAGCCCCAGCTGTCCTGGAACTCACTATGTAGACCAGGCTGGCCTTGAACTCACAAAGATCTGCCTGCCTCTGCCTCCCAAGTGCTGGGATTAAAGGCGTGCGCCACGACGCCCAGCAAGTTTTTAAGGCAAACAAAGTCTCTGAGCAAGTCCTGTGGAGGCTTCACTAGGAAGACACTGAGTGGCAAAGTCACTTTGCAAGGCCATGGCCAGCAGAGTGTGGATGGAAGAGGGGCTCCAATGTGTTCCCTGGGCTATAAAGAGCACAACACTGAAGGGCCAGGTCAAATAGGGGCAGCCCAGGGAACCATCTCATAGGCCTCCAACTCTGGGGTACAACCACAACAGACAAATGGGGCCCTGGCTTTGAGTTCAGTCCTCAGTAATGATGAGGATTGTGATGATGACATTTGATGATGGGCACTTCCTGTCTGTAGGACCATGGCCAAGAAATTTATTTTACATATATTGCTCCATTTGATCCTTCAAGATCCTGAGTAGCACCATTGCTGTCCCCTCTTTGCAGATAGGGATACTGATGCTCAGAGCTTAAGCAAATGACCCTTTTCCTTTTTTGTTGTAGTCATTTTGTTTTAGCGAGACAGGGTTTCATGTATGCCAGGCTGGCCTCAAACTTGTTTTGCTCCCAAAGATGGCCTTGGACTTCTGATCCTCCAGTCTCCACGGACCCAATGTTGGGATTACAGGTGTGTTCTACATACCAGTTTTCATTCAGAACCCAGGACCTCAAGCATGGTAGGCAAAACACTCTAGCACCTGAGCTGTGTCCCCATCCCGTCTGTTTTCTTGAGGCAGCATCTCCTGTAGTACAGGCTGACCTACAGCTCCCTGTGTAGCCAAGGATGACCTTGAATTCCTGACCCTCCTGTCTCCACCTCCCAAGTGCTAGTATTATAGGCATTCACCACCATGTCCAATTACACTTTAACTTTTTTTTTTTTTTTTGGTCTTTTTGAGATATGGTCAGCCTGTAGCCTGTAGCCCCAGCTGTCCTGGAACTCACTATGTAGGCCAGGCTGGCCTTGAACTCACAGAGATCTGTCTGCCTCTGCCTCCTGAGTGCTGGGACTAAAGGCACACTTTTACTTTTAAGTAACAGAATAGCACAAAACTAGTTGGCACCAGGATTCAGACCTCAATGAATCAGAAGTACAGAGTACCAGTGGTCTTAAGTGCCTGCAAGAGTATTTTCTCCTCAGCCAGCTTAGCACTCCCTCTGAGGTCAGGCCCTGTGCCAAGCACTTTACATATTTTATATCTTCAATCATCATAACATCCCTATGAAGTAAGTGATTTTACTATCCTCATTTGTATAGATGAGGAAACCAAGACCCAAGATGAAATGACTTTGCTGGGCAGTGACACTGGCCTCCTGAATTGCCTAGTACTGGAACAAGAGATGGCCAGGGCTGGACCAGAACCCAGGACATGTGGGTCGCAGGCTTGGGCTCTAGGGCTAGATGGAGGCTCCCAGTTGGCAGCCCTGTTCCTTAAAAGCGAGCTGGCCTTAAGCCTAAAGAATGAAATCACACCCTGCGGTTCTGGGAACCTCAGACTGGGGAAGAAGGAAGCTGTCCCTATGCTGCTCAAGTCTGAGCAGGTGTGCTGGGGACTGCTTCCTTCTGTGGCTGCAGGGAGCCTCTTTGGCTAGGCAGGGAGTGGCAGAGGGTGGGAGGGTAGGAGGCAGGAGTGCCCAATAAAACAGGACTGAATCTTCCCGCCTTCCAGCCTTGATCCAGGTACACCCTCGACGCCTGCTTGGCAAACGACTGAACACAAAGAAAGTTCAAGGTTGAAGGCAGGAGGCTTGAGTGCTGGCTCTGGCTCAGGCCTCTTCCTGCTTGAATCCTTCAGTTTCCTCATCTGTGTAGTGTGTGGTGGGGAGCACAACATCGCCCAACCTTTCCAATCAACACATTATTGATTCAACTTCTACCATGGACTGGAGAGATGGGCAATGCAAAAAGCAAGATTTAGGCCTGTTTTCATGGGTCTTGGAGTAGAGGAAGGAAAGGCAGACCAACTTTCCACTGAAGCTGATGTACAATGGCAGCTTAGACTTTCTAAGGGAAAGGGTGGCACAGGTACGGGGCAGGAGAGGAGCAAAGGGTGGTGGGAAAGGACGCCCTGAAGAATCCCTTATTCGGTGAATGGCTGTGGGCATACAGGCCCCATTCCAGAAGGTTCATCCTAAGAACAGGAAGAAGGGCTATGTTAAGACATCACTGCAGTTTTTTCGAAGGAGGTTATTGGGTGGTGCTGGGAGAGATGGTCGCGTTTAAGAGGATACAGTTAAAAACATCCTTCAAAGAAAATAAGAATGCCACCCTCTCTGAGGAGCCCGCCCTGATTTCTCCACCTTTGACGTGTGTGTGTGTGTGTGTGTGTGTGTGTGTGTGTGTGTGTGTCTGTGTCGGTGTCTGCCTCCCTTCCTCTCTGGCCTTCCAGTCTGGGTGGAGAACTCAGGCCTCCGAAGCTTTTTTCTTTTGCTGCTGAAGCGCACTGCGGCTTCAGACGCGGTTCTATGCTCCCTGAGCCTCAGTTTCCCTAGCCGTGAAGAAGCAGGTTGTCCGTCAGGGCCCGCCCAGCTCTAACACAACGTGATTCGTTCTGGCAGCAAGGAGGGGTGCCCGCATTGCTGCGCAGGCTTCGGGCTGCTGGAGAGGGCACCACCACCAGGCTGCCGGCGCTTTCTCCCTGGATGGGGCCGCAAAACCGTGTCCCAGCGCCAGACGTTGCGCAGGAAAAGTAGGGGTGCGACCCCAGGCAAGCGCGGACGCCACGCGGCCCCGCCCCCGCAGCCAGCGGCCCTGCGGCAGCCCCGGCGAGCTCCGCCCTCCGCCTCCCGCGGCCGCGCTGCCTCCTCCCTCCTCGCTAGCTCCCTCCCCCGGGCCGGCTCGGCGCTGACTCCGCCGCACGCTGCAGCCGCGGCTGGAAGATGGCGGGGAACGACTGCGGCGCGCTGCTGGACGAAGAGCTCTCCTCCTTCTTCCTCAACTATCTCGCTGACACGCAGGTACGGCCGGCTGGGACCGCAGGCCCGGGGCCGGGGTGCTGAGCCGCGGGGCTGCAGCGGCAGCTACGGAGGCCGGGGCGCAGCGGTGGGCGCAGCGGGGCGATCCGGGGGTTCCAGGCTGCAGAGCCCCCCTTCCTCACGCCTTGCGCTGCGCTGTTACACGGCGAGGGAGCTGCAGGTCCCCGGCGCGTGCCGTAGCACTGGGGTGTACAGCCGCCGGGGAGCGTCTAAGCCGGGCCACCTGGAGTCTATGGACCCCCGCGGGCCGAGTTGAGGGATACCACGCTTCCTGGGGCAGGTAGCACCGAGCCCAGGTGTGGGGGATCCCTCGGGCTGGCACCGGGTGCTGTAGGCGCGCCCTCAGCACCGGGCACTTGCTGCTGTACTTTCACGTGGACTTGTGGCGAGGGTACCGGAGCCTGCCCCCAGCCCCAGAGTCTCCCCGTTTTCTAGCCTCTGGCACCCGAAGTGCTGATGCTGGTCTCCCCGCAGTTCCCCACCTGCTCCCGCAGCGCAGAGTTTCCTGTCAGTTACCGGTTAGGGAGCTTGGGGTCTACGGGGCACGTGGACACGCTGGCGGAGATAGCTCCTTCCTGCTTTCGCTATCGGGAGAAGACCCCCTCCAGGGGAAAAAGCGAGGCAGGATGGGGGCGGGAGGACTATCTGGGGGTGTTTGGGTCCCCCCTGCGGCGCGCGCCCCCGATGCGCGCTCCACTATGCAGGGGGAAGGGAAGACGAGGCGGCGTCCCGGGCTCTGACTGAGCCTGGGAGCCCCGCCGGCAGCACGCGCGTGACAGGAGAGGGTGTCTGCTGTGCGGGAGGGAAGACCAGGAAGCCGAAGGCTTGGAGACCCGGAGGGGGCTTGTTAACCCGGACTAGCAGTTGCGGGAAAATGTGTGCACGCGGCGTGCGCCCCCCCCCTCCACGTTCTTCCCCATTGCCCCCACCCGGTGCCTGTTGCGAGCGTAAAGTTTGGCTCCGGAGTTGGGGCTTTTTGCTCCCAGTTCCCGGCTGCTGGTCCCCGAGAGGCTGGGGATGCGGGGACACGCCTGGGAGCGGAGAGGGGCGGCCGGGCGGAACCCCGCACGCAGGGGTAGGCTCGGTACCTGGAATGGGAGCGCCGTACTGGCCCGTTTTGCATAACATTGGGAGGGAGGGGTAGGCCGAGGGGGCCGGGAGGTGGGAGGGGAGAGGGAAACTTTGCTTCTACTTAGAATCTGCCAGTCTTTGGGCGGTAGCAGCTGTCATGGGACCCGGTGGGCGGAGAGAGGCTTGCAAGCTGACTCCTTGCGGCGAGACGCAACTTGGAGGGGGACGCAGCGGCTGCGACGTTCAGCTCCGGGGAGACTCCGGGTGGCGACTTCAGGCTGGAGACTGGGACGGAGCGTCGTGGCGGGGTGTCACCGAGAGGAAGCGCGCCACGCGCGGTAGACGGCGGGCCGTCGCCCTCTGCGGACGCCGCTGAGTACGGGAGCTGCGGGGCCGCGTGGTGTGTGGCGGGCGCGCTCGGGTGGGTTGGCGGCGGAGGCCGGAGGGGACGGCGGCGTGTGCTCGCGCGTCTCTAGGTGGGGGAGTGTTTGGAGAGTCGGCTGTGCACGCGGGAGTGTGTGCACGCTGCGCGCGCCGGGCGCGTACCTTTACCTCTGACGAAACTGCGGTGGAGCTCCAGCCGCCGGCGCCGAGCTCGGTCACACGCCCCGCGCTTCTGTCTGCGCCGAAGGCGGGCCAGCCTCTGCACCCCGAGAGTGGGTAGCGTGGACTGGGGATGGTGAGGGTAGGGTGGCCCCTGGGAAGACACTGCACCCCAGATCTCTCTTATTTCCTGGAATCGCTTCCAAATCTGTGCACTAAAGACCTGAAGAAGAGAGGCCCGAAATAGCCAGAGCCACTCCGTCAGGAACCTGTACCTAGATTGTCCGCTCTGGACTTGACCCTGGTCTTTAGCTTTGGTGTTTGGCTCATCAATAATTAATTGTTTGCCCCTTGAATCGCCAGGCTTAGGCTACCCAGCAGGCCTGTTAAGCCCAAGGAGACTAGAAAATTGGATAATCAGGGGTCAGCAGAAGCGGTGCAGCGAAAGTTAATCTGGGACATTTGCCTTTTTTTTTTCTTTCCCTCTAATTTAATCACGTGACAGGCCGAAGATCTCTTGGTGATCTTTGCCGGCCCAACTTGGGAAATGTAATTGATAGCCGAGCTTTGCGGCCACCCTTAGAAGGCTCAGAGAGCTCAGCGGGAATGGGCGGGTCAGCCCGCCTCCTCATTTTACAGTTGGGGAAAGAGGCTGTGAGAGGTGAGCTGCTACTACAGGACCACTCAGCCAGGGGGTGACAGAGCCACCCAGGGCTCCTGACTCCAGGTCCTGTGTGTTACCTCGAAATAGCACTGGACTTGGAGTCAGAAGGCCTGAGTGGAGTCGCCTTCCCCACTCTCTGGCTGGGTGATCCGGAGCAAGCCATTTTAACTCTCCAGCCTGATTCCTCCATCTGTGCAATGGGGCCGGTGGCTCTGCAAGAGAAGCCAGAGGCCTGCTGGTGGGGGTGAGCCTGTCTGCATGTGAGCTGTCTGGTTGTCCTGCTGCTCCTTTCCACAGCCCTTCTGGATCCTCCCATTCTCCAGCTCTCCTCCTGGGAAAGTTGGGGAAAGTGGATTGTCCTTGTCCAAAAAAGATCTTTTGTTGTCTTTGGTGGCTAATCTAGAGGTAGATTAGAGAAAGAACTTCAGTTTAGGAGACTTAACTTTTACCCATTGGGCCAAAGAACAGAAATTTAGCAGAACAAGGATTGTGAAAGTTTCTTGGAAACGTTTGAAGAATATATCCCAAAGGATTTTGGACTTGGTTTCACCTTTGCTTAGGCGGTGCCCCTTGCCTGGAGTGCCCTTGCCCACCCCTCCTGCATGGCTTTCTCTGCAAATAGGCCTTCCTGCCAGTTTGCCCTGCTCCCTCCTACTTTTTGTAGTCAGTTATACAACCTATACTTTATGTGTGAGTTGTATCCAGTAAGATCTAGAGCTGTGCCTTTTATCTCTTTGTGCCCATATGGTACCTGTCAACATGCTGATCAATGTTCCTTTGTCCAGCTCTTGACTAGGTACAGGGATTATAAACAGGTACAGCTGAGCTCTGCCAAACAGAAGCTCTGGGACTGGCAGGGCAGACAGCTGGGCAGTGACTGTGGGAGAGAGGTGGTAGAGGGCTGTAGCTGCTGGCAGAAACTGGCTCTAAAGGCCACTTGGAAAACTCAGTAAGTATGGGTTATTTGAAATCACTTGGGTGCTTGGAATAGCAGTTATAGATGACCCAAGTGTAAGAGAGGACATGACTATTATGAATCATCTAGTCCAACCCCTTATTTAAAAATAATTCTAGCATTGTTAGAAAATACTGCCAAGCATTGAAAGAGAAAAGTTTAATATTAAAAATTATGCATTATGTATGTGCATGTGCATGGATGTGCCAAGACATGCTTGTGGAGGTAGGAGGATCGCTTGGGGAGTTGGTTTTCTCCTTCCACCATATGGATCTAAGGATTGAACCTAGGTCATCAGGGTTGGTGGCAAGTGACTTTACCCCACTGAGCCATCTGACCAATCCAGAAATATGTAACATTGTCCAAATGGCGGGTCATAGTCTTCATATGTTTTTGATGATGGATTTCTTTCTTATTCATAAATCTCACTTCTTTGAATAAAAACAAATGGAGTTGTTCTATGTATACTAATTTGTAACTTGGAATCACACTGTTTTGTAACTTGCTTTTTTTTTTCCTCCTCACAATATGCTGTGAACATCTTTTCACATCAATAAATATTGTGCTTAATATCTTAATGGTTGTATAGTATTTCATAAAAAGTTGAGCCAACATGTATTTATTCAATCCTTTATTGTTATTCATTTAAGTTGTTTGAATTTTTTCCATTATAAGCAATGCTCAGAGGAATATCTTTGTGTATATATGTTCGTTTCTTCATTAACTTCATTCCTAGAAGTGAAATTGCTCTATCAAAGGAACTATGCAGACATTTGATAAACATCTCTGAGTTGTCTTCTGGAGAAACTGTACTAATTTACACACTCACTAGCATTGTGTGGAATGCCTGGATCCCCAAACCCCAATCACTCATGGTATTTTCATTTTACCAACAATAAATTCTGTCACCCTTATTGGTTTAATGTGCATTTCTTTGGTTACTTGTGATCCTGAACACTTACCCCATAAGAGAATCCTTTACAGTTCTGTTCTGTACAAGGCCATGTTTGTGAACTTGGTCCATCTTACAGTGGCTCCTCATCATTGTAAAGCTGGAACTGAGCACCCAGAAGGGCCCTGCTCACATGGAGGACTGGGAAAATGACCCCTTGATAGGTCTGGGATACTGCTGTTCCACAGCCTTGAAGCCAGGGCAAACTGCTCTCTAAGTCAAGAGTTGTAGCCATGTGCAGCTCTGGGGGAATGTATTTCTCACCTTTTACCTGCATGAGACTGGGGGGCAGGGTAACCTCATCTGAGTGCAGCTGGGGACATGTTCCCCAGAGGCCTGGGCTCCTGGCTGCTGCTCTGGCTGAGTGTGGCAATGAAACCCAGGAAAGGCCACAGCCCAGCAGTTCAGCCTGGGGGCTCATATTTCCCCTTCACCTAGGGGCCTCCTCCCCAGCTGATGCAGGCCAGCCAGGAGCTTCACCATGCCACCATATGAATCACCCTTTTCCTTCCCTCTCTGAAATAATAGAAGGAACACTGGCTTGAGTCAGAAGCAGCACTACAGATGGGGCCTCAGGCTTGGAAGTGAGGTCATGACAAGAGCATTGCAGGCTTAACAGCTGTCTTTCCCTCATCATCGGCAGCAGCAGCGGTGGCATGGCGGCATTTATAGCGCGTCCTCCAGATCATGTGCTCTGCTGAGCTTTCTGTTGGCACTGTTACGTTTCTTCCTCACAAAGACACTATACAATATAGGTGCCGTTTACAGTTTTACAGATTTCACTGTCTCTGAGAACT